TTCATCTTCATCTTCATCTTCATCTTCATCTTCATCTTCATCTTCATCTTCATCTTCATCTTCATCTTCATCTTCATCTTCATCTTCATCTTCATCTTCATCTTCATCTTCATCTTCATCTGTCATTACCCACTCCACAGTGGCGTTAAAAGTGCAATGCAGCCGCCCCTATCTATTCACGTATGCGCATACTCATACGCAAAAATTAAGTTTTATTTTCTGAGCAAAAAATAAAATTCAAGAAATAAAGATTATTTTCCGAGCAAAAAATATAACCTAAAACGTAACCACTATTTTCCGGGCAAAACACAAAACTTAAAACGTAACGATTATTTTCCGAGCAAAAAATAAAACTTAAAACGTAACCATTATTTTCCGAGTAAAAAATAAAACTTAAAACGTAACGATTATTTTCCGAGCAAAAAATTAAACTTAAAACGTAACGATTATTTTCCGAGCAAAAAATAAAGCTCAAAAAATAATCGTTATGTTTTGAACAAAAAATAAAACTCAGTTAATAACGATTAAAAAGTGATTTTATAATAAAATTATAACCGTTACGGTCCCTGGAAAATATACATGCGTGTGTTATTAGTCTCACGCCTGCCCACACCTGGGGGCCAATCCTGGTTCTATGAAACTGTGAAGTGAAAATGACAAGTAAATTTTAAGCAAAAAAGATAACCGGATTCAAATCTCATATAAAAATTTAGGAGTACCGTTAATTTTTTCATGATCCAATGATCGAATCTAAACCAGATTAGTATGGGACCACCTCTGAGACACTACCTTCGCGATGCAAATTTTCGAAATCGGTTGACGCGGTCCAAAGTTATACGGTAACATACATAAATAAAAAAAAAATATTAAAAATATTCCGACGAATTGGTAACCTCCTCCTTTTTTTTGAAGTAGGTTAAAAAATCCAATGACAGTGAAAATTAACTTTTTTCACTTTATCGTTTCGTTATATGATTTTAAGCGATTCTCGATCATTAATGGCTATTCCATTAACGTCTAGCAAGTAATTATTTGCTAAATTATTGTGAGTTTAATAGAATGATATTCTTTATCACGAGATGATAGTTTTGAGAAAAACGCCCAACTTTACTTTTTCCCAGCCACAAAACTTTGTGAAAAACAGTTTCCACAGTCAACAATTTTTGACAATTAATTTATTTTCATTTGAAAACAGGATCGTAATTTTATGTGAAGTGATGAAAAATGTTTGCACTTCACGTTTTCACAGAATAGGAATTGACCCCCTGTTATAGAGTGCTATTTATAAATGTTACATACCCATTTCCGATTCGTAGTCTTGGTGCTGTTGTTGCTGTAATAAAATATATGCCGTTAGGATTCCATTCGAAATATGTTGTATCGGGGCATTTTATGTTGGTTAATATTTCCTTCTTTTTTATGTCCCAAATCTCTACGTTCCCGGGCAAATTACCAAATCCTGCTAAAGCTAAAAGTGTATACTGTTAAGGAAATCGTTAAATTGATGAAACATTTAATATATGTATATGTTTGGCTACATAATAATTGCAATTAATTTCATAGATAACGTATTTTTCGAAAGGATATGATTTCCGAAAGGATTAAAGAATGCACAATTCCGTGGTCCCTCTCCGAAATCGTAAACTACATCACATTTTAGGTTGTATAAGGCTGCCTTTGAAGGCATAAATCCGTAAACAACAACGAATTCAGTTGCTTTTGGGCTCCATTTAACGCAGTGAACAGGTCCTTCTTTTGCTAAAATGAGATTAAAACAAAATAAGACAATAAGAAAAATTAAATGTGTTGAAATTTGCATAAACAGTTTATCACGTGGTGATGAATATTCCAAGCCAGCAACGATGAACAGGGCCCTATTCCACAAAAAGACTTATCAACTTTGCATTTTGCAATTATCATCTTTGCATTTATTGCAGCAAAGTTATGTTCTTTCTTTCCACAACGCAAATATTTATACTTTGCAAATCAACTTAGCGCGCCGCGACGCCGTTACTTTGCATTCAAACAACTTTGCACTTATGTATCTATCATAAATTATCAACTTGCCAATAACTGCCTGCTGTGTATGATAAAAGTAGAAAAGTATGTAAAGTATGTGCAAAGTAGAAAAGCAGAAGGCATGGGAGCAAATTTTTAAAAATGCTCAGGCTTTTCAGCTAGCAGCAGTCAAAAAACCATGGACTTTTGCTAGAGACAGCTTGTTTGGGGTATGGAAGAGCCGCCCTTTGGTAAGTATATTGAAGAATTAATTACATTCAAAATATAAGTTACAAACACCAACGGTAAATCTTAGAGAGTCTTAACTTGAAAGCCAAGAGTACTCAATGACTTGCTATTACGTTATGCGTATATATTTATTAGTGCATTAAAGATAGCAGATAAATTTATGGTAAGGGCGTGGACCTTACCGGGGTCACACAGGGCGGATGTGAACGGCCTACTCCAGTAGGTTAGCTGCGAATAACCAATAAGCAGTCCCAGACCAAGAGCGGCAGGAGACGAGGGCCTGATTTAAAATATGATCAATCTCCTGTTTCTGGACGAACAGATGCCGTCTCCCAAAAAGTGTTCCAGGATTGACACCATTTAAATCCTGTTCGTGGCATACTGGAGAATGAATACGATTAGTTCAACATAGGGTGAGGGTGACACCTCACAAAAATGGCTAGTAGGCAAATGCTGCAATCGCCCCTGTCTCGTAAAAACCCTGGCAGGTCTTCAAGTACATTCAACACACGTCACCTTTCAGTTGGCCACACAGATCTAGTTGAGATATACTCCTGGTTTTGCGCTGTCGTGGCTCTGAACACAATATCCCATAAGGACTTGTGACAACCTTCGCCATGGCCTGCTCTTTTAAGAAAAGGGAACTACGGGACATTTAAAAGCGACTGGGCTACGTGTGGAGATAGCGGCTTGAAGCGAAACCCAATTGAATTGAAATGAACACACTAAAGCAAAAACAAACAAAATAAAGCGATGTAGATGTTCTGAAGGAAGAATGCAGCGCATTCAGAAAGAGCAGTAACCATTGGCCAGCTTGGAGACGCCCGTATCCTCACTAGACGTTTACGTCTAGAAGTTCTTGGCATGGATTGCCTAACCACGGTCCCAGAAGTGGAGAACTCTATACGCTAGGAACTAGAAGACAAGATTGACCATACGGCCGCGATATGGATTGTTAATACCAACCATAGCTCAGATAGCAGTGGGGTCGGACGTTGCTACGTCTGCGCGGAAATAGTGCCAAATCACTCTGGTGAGCTGCTACCTGTCGCCAAACGACACAGTTCTTGTCTTCAGGGCAAAATTACGGTATGGCGTTAAGTGCTGAAGTTCGGCAGGGCTGGCACTGCTGCAGCAGCTCGCCTCGTACCAGCAGGTTCTATAACGGACCCCCGTCCCGACTTTCCTGCTGAAGCGGCTGTTCTAACCGATGAGCGTGACAACCTTCGTCAGGCCGATCCCGGAAATCTCCATATCAGGGATCTCAACACGTAGATTCGGCAGCTTGTGAACGTACATAAGCGGAATAAGTGGGAAGAGCAACTGAAGACTTGCAACTTCACCTCTGGTGTGTGTAAGCTTTGGTCAACCGTGAGGTCTTTGTCCAATCCGACGAAGCATGACGACAGGGTCGAAATTTCTTTCGGCGACGGTGCACCGTCTGACCCGGAGCGATGCGCAAGCTATTGTAGCCGGCAGTTCATACTGCATCCTCCGGTGGACAAAGCCAAGCGTCGAGTGACCAGAAGGCAACACAAACTGCCAACAACCTGTTCCCCCCTTGCTTTCACTTGCGGTGAAGTTCAGGAGGCCATCGGGAAGGCCAAAGCGTCCAAAGCCATGGGTTCCGACGGAATATGCATGCTGATACTGAAAAATTTGGATCCTGCGGGGGTATCGTACCTAACGGAAGGCCTCAATTTGTCCATGGCCACTCTCATCATCCCAGACATATGGAAGGTGGGGAGAGTGGTCCCACTGCTCAAACCGGGGAAACCTGTCAACATAGGAGATTCTTATCGTCCGATAACACTCCTTTCCCCGGTAGCGAAGACACTCGAGGCCTTGCTACTCCCGTATTTCACAAACCACTTGACCCCAGCGAAGCATCGGCATGGTTTCCGTAAAGTGCACAGTACAACAGCACTTAACGCCATAAACACGCAGATAACTCGTGGCCTTATCCGTAAACGTCCCTGTGAGCGAACGATTCTAGTAGCGTTGGACCTGTCAACGGCTTTTGACACTGTCAGCCATTCCACGCTACTTGAAGATATAGAGGCTTCCTCTCTCCCACAGAGGCTCAAGCGGTGGTCGGCAAATTATCTAAGTGGTCGACACTCGTCGGTAATGTTTAGAGACAAATCGAGCAAACTCAACCACCAGAGGGAGTCTCGATTGTCTCTTACGCCGACGATTGCTCAATCATGGCGACTGGGAATGGAATTGATGACCTGTGTTCGAAAGTAAACGGATATCTCTCTGAACTTTCTCGCTTCTTCACTGCAAAGTGTCTAGCCCTCTCCCCTACGAAATCCTCTGCGACCCTTTTCACAACCTGGACGAAGGAGGTCAGGCTACCGCTAGGAATTCACGTCGATGACACACAAATTTCGACGGTGAATAATCCTAAAATTCTCGGAGTAACATTCGACAGCCTGCTCTCCTTCTCTGCGCACGCAACCGCTATTGTCAATAAAGTACAGAGCCGCAACAAGGTCCTCAAGTCGCTAGCCGGCAGTACTTGGGGCAAAGACAAAGAAACGTTTCTGGCAACATACAAGGCAATAGGCCGGCCGGTTTTAAATTACGGAGCACCAGTGTGGTCGCCGGGGACTAGTAGCACGCAGTTCACGAAGCTACAGACGGTACAAAATACACCACTTAGGACAGCGACCGGATGCCTCCTGTTGTCACCAGAACACCACCTCCACGATGAGGCGAAAATGCTCCCAAATAGGGAGCACAACACGATGCTCTGTAAGCAGTTTCTTGCTGGGAGCCACAGATGTGACCACCCAAATAGACAGCTGCTTGCAGAGGAGCCCTCGCCGAGACACTTCAGGAGGCATCTATATGAACTGACGGACGCAGTCCAGAGGTTCATTAAGTAACCTCTGGGCCCATCAGCTCACAGACAGGCCCTGAACGGCATTCACAGGGACGCAGCCTCGAGTTATGTAGACTCAAGACCTGTGAATGCCGTTCTAGGCACACAAACACCGGACATTGACGCGACGGAGCTCCATCTGCCTCGGGAGACCAGGACAACAATAGCCCAACTTCGCTCTGGCTACTGCAGCAGGCTAAATTCCTACCTGAGTAGGTTAAATGCGGATGTGCCGAACGAATGTCCGGCATGTGGAGAGACCCCTCACGACTCGAAACATCTCTTCGCATGCCCGGAAAACCCCACAACCCTAACGGCGTTGTCTCTATGGACCGACCCCATAGAGGCTGCACGCTTCTTGGGGCTGCCGCTAGTGGAACTCGCCGACAACGACTGAGATATCAGCCGATCTGGGCGGGGTTGTTGTAGCCGCTACAACAACAACAACAACAAGAACGCCATTAATTATGTTTTAGATATATGACAAGGAAAGGACAGTTCTTCTCTTTGCCAAAGAGCTCAAAGTAAGATGGAATAGGATTCTCAAACCTTAGGGAACGCAATGCATGTTTAAGAAAAGCTTTTTGAGCTGGTTCAAGTCTATTAACTGAAAATTGGTCATATGGTCTCCAAATTATAGCTGCGTATTCCAAATGCGAACGGACGAGAGCTGTGTATAGGAGCTTAATAGCAACAACAATTTCAAAAAACTTAGAAATGGTCGAAAGTTTCGAATCGGTCTATAATTCCGCACATTATTTTTACTCCGCTTTCTATAAAGCTGATTGTTTAAATATTTAAATTCCTTAAGATAATGCTGAAATTTTACAAAAAGTGACTGATTACTAGTTGCTTTGAATGACTTTAAATACTTCATTTTGAGATTTATAAGTTTCTTTAAATCTTTGTTATACCACGGCGATTTGTATGGCCGCTTCTTTTTTAACGGCATATTATCTAAGCAAAATTTGTTCATTGTTAATTTAAAAGTGGAAAAGTAGCTGGGCATATCCAGGCCAGAAAATAATTCATCCCATTTAAAGTCTAAACGAGTGTTATTCAAACTTGGATAGTCACAAGATGCATAATTAAAAACATTTCTATCAATAGGTGATATGGCTGAGAACTCATAAAAATTTAGATT